GGAAACGAAAAAAAAATGCGACTATGAAGGATTTCAAAATAAGAAGGGAGCTTCTAATAGAACAAAGGATGCAATTCTGCATTCTGTATCACTTGAAAATTCCCCATGTTCAATTTAAGAAAAATAATAATAAAAAAGAGAATTAAAAGCTTTTAGTATGAGTGTTGCAGGTGAGTGGTCCAAGAATAGAATCTGCTGCTGACCTCCCAAATGCAGCAAGCGCAAGAAGCAGGAATGCTAAAATACTTGAAGCTTTCCTAAAATACTTTAAGCTTTCCTACCCATTTCCCGGATAATACACAGAAATTCCCCTTGCCTTTTTCAAGTAAAGCTCTGAAACTGCCACGCTCACTTGCCCTTACTTAGCAGCTTTCACATTAGAACATGTGAGAAGCATCTGCATTTTTGTCAACTACATAACAGYCCTTTTAGAACAAAACAGTATAAACAGCATTACTTAGCACACGGTTATTTTTTTAAAACTATGCTGTTGAGCATCTGTGTCATGCACCTGATAGTGGAAGAAGAATAGTTACAGAGGAGCAAGGTATTTAGAGGACTCACTTCCCTACCCATTAAAAGTTAACTCAAGGGGACATACTACAAAACGTAATAAGGAAGGTTTTGAACACAGAACCACAGAAACAATACAGCTTCCATGACAGCCATCATACAGCTATATTATAAATATCCTGGAGTCTAATATCTATGAAGACACAAAACATTTAAAAGAAACACTGCTCCCCACAAGACATTCTTGTATAACACGACAGCCTCTCTACTACTTGAGTAGAGCTACTGGCCGAATCGGCTGCCCCCAACATGAAATCCGTGCTCAGCACCAGCAACGAGGGCATCTTCCCAGCGCCCAGCACGGCGGGAGAAGCAGCGGAGGGGATTCTCCCACGGCAGCGACAGCGATGCCGTCTCCGCCTGCGCACGCGGCCGCGAGCGCCCACCCGGACCCTGATCCGCAGGGATGCGCCCGGCGCCCACGGGGCCTCCGGATGCGCTCGCGGCTTCCTGCCGCCGTCCCCACAGGGGCTGCAAAGCCCCTCGGCACCAGCAAGGGGCTGCACCAGCCTGGGGCCACTAACCACAGCCCCTCAGTAGGAGAAATAAAATAAAATAAAATAAAATAAAATAAAATAAAATAAAATAAAATAAAATAAAATAAAATAAAATAAAATAAAATAAAATAAAATAAANAAAATAAAATAAAATAAAATAAAATAAAATAAAATAAAATAAAATAAAATAAAATAAAATAAAATAAAATAAAATAAAATAAAATAAAATAAAATTTCTTAAACTCACAGGGAGCTGGCCTATAATCTTATTGCCTTGCCTCTGCCAAACAGAACACACTTCAAAAAACCTCGGAAAAATGGGGTTAACATTTTTGCATAAGCACTTCAATCATTAACTGGCTCACATTAACAATCAACCGGGCTAACATAACAAACAATTCTTGTTACTCAAACTGGCGTCATTGTAATGAGCTCCAAATTAATCTCATCCGTACACAATCACTAATCTTGTTTTGTGCCAACTGAATTTTTAATCAGAACAGAATGAATCATAGGTTGTTTTTAAAATACATTTCTAATACTTGCCATCCAAAATGAATAAACACTAGAGAGGAGTAGAACTTTTCTATTTACATTTTAAGAAGCTGATTTTATTTATGCATACTATACACACAAGTATCGAATGTACACTATAATTGTAGATATTTCTAATGAAAACAAAAAATACATACGTTTATTTCCAGTTATGCTTTGAGCATAAATAAATTCACRCATTCAAGGATCTTGCCCCTTTGGTACAACAGTATTACTAACCAGAATAAAAGGAAGTGTTGCACTTCTGAGATATAATACCAATCTTGACATCATTGCAAAAAAAAAAGAATCAGGATATACATACTCATAACACAGTATGACCAATAGAGTAGTTACTTCTATGTAGCCTGCAAAGAAACATATTTTGCAGTGCTGAATTGAGTCTCAACTAGATTTTCAATCCCATTTTAGCATTTGTGCCAGTTACAGAAGCAAGATTGAGCATTTTGACTGTAATTTTTAAATTATAACACCAATTTAACAGTAGATTAGCAGCTAATATACATGTCAGAAATACTCARTGCATCGCAACCCTTTGTTAAAAATCAGCCCCACTCAATTAGATACAATTTGAAAAAAATCCTAATACGACAAAGCCTTCACTTTAYCACGCCTCCTTTCTCAAGGGCCTTATTTCAAGAATCCTGTTTCAGCGGCYGGGCAGCCCAACCGGACACCTGCTCCAGCACTTAGGCAGGACTTAACTGGAAGGCCACCCTCCCATTRTGGAAATGGATTGAAAGGCTACAGTTACATGCAGTGCTGCCATCTAAACTTCTTGGAAAGGCTCCCAAGCTTTGGGAAGGCCACACAAGCCAGAGTACCTGCTACTCGGACAGAGTGAAATAATGTCTAATTCAGCCTACAAAATAACATGTGATGGCTTCTGCTTGAAAAACAAGACACTGAAGAAGCTGAGAACAGTGAAGAAAGGCTTAATTGTCAGAACTCCCACAGATGCAGCTGACATTTACTACATACATGGAGACTCTTTGGACAGTGCTCTTATTTTAATGCAGTCTACATGCTTTTATGGACTGTAGATTCAGTTTGGATTGCCAATGAGTACATCAGAAGTACATGAAAATTGCTCAGGACCAACAAGCACACAATCTACTAATCAATTTTTACTTACAGTTAAGAGAAAAATGTTAACACATTAAAAAATCTGCTAATATTTTAGAATTAAATTATCTTTATTAAGCAGCTATGATATCTGTGGAGAGTTATTCAAATACAGAGCGTGGTAAGAAAATTATTGTTCATGGAACATTCTAGAGAAAACAAGTTTGCAATAACCCATGTTGAACATGAAAAGGCAAGTGCATCAGTGAAAATGCAGCATCACAGCTGTAAAAAGGAGGTGGCAGATTCTGATAACATCAGGAAGGCTTGCAGGAGAAAGACCAAGGACCTTACCAGAAAGGTTATATTTACATACAGAATATTATTCCATGGCATAATTACTAAAGGAAAGATATTCAGTTGAAACAATCTTTTTTTCTTTTTCTTTTTTTTTTTTTGGATTGTTTTAAGTTAATTTTGGAAAAAAGTGGTTGGTATCTTATGCATCAAGTGACAAATGCCTCTCAAAGCTGCTTTCTAGTGAAGAGGTCAGGAAGCTTGTGCTGTGCTTACGCAATGACAGAAGAAAACTGGATTTAAGAACACGGTAASAACGAAAGAGAACTAAGGATGTTTTTAGTTCTACAGGTTTCCCAATAGATCACTATGAATAGGCCCTCTCTGCACTTGAGAAATACAGCACTACATCACACTTAGCAATCTTCCTCATACGAATGGCATTTCTGAAACYTCCCCAAACTTCTCAATGAGTAATTGCTATGTCCTCTGCTATTTGTCACTCATTTCAGCTTTTCTGAGCATTACAAAGGTATCCCTCTTCACTGAAGAGCTGCAAAAACTTCCCAAGAAGTTGTAACATTGTGAAATAATAAAACGGGAAAAGGAGAAACAAAAGAGCATGGAAGTTAAAAATTGTGACAGCACTTAAGAGACTTGTCAGAATGAAGTAAAATTTTTTCTGCAAGTCTARCAAGACAGCCATTTGGTAGTGCCACGACAAAAGGTAAAGCATATATGGTGTTCAGTAATGTGCCTTGGGAAGATAGATGAAAAGAGGGAGGCTTTCCAAAGCAGTTTGCCCAGCAGCTGCAGGCTGCACGTGCTTGCAGGCTCCWCACCAGCAGAAGCCCACTCGAAAGGCATCCCAGCTGTGTATTTTTGCCAGGGACTTATATTGGCAGACAATATAAAATGTGGTTACTTTTCCCACCTGCTGCTCAAAACCACACATACTTCAATGTATCCATTTCTTGATACATTTTTTCCCCCAACTTTCCAAAAAAGCTGAAATTTTTGAGGAAAATAAAGGAAACAAAACGCCAGCTTGTCGGTGACGGCACAGGAATTACAGTAGAGCTCTGCTGAAGGGACATACCTTTCAAACCAGCACTAAGCTCTAGACCAAAACCACCGGATACTGGCACCGGATGCCAGTCGGAATGAATACGCCCAAGCCCTGCTGACACCTGGTACTGTTGGCCCAGAAAAGGGGCCTGCAGGTCTGCAAAAGCAGCAGCAAATGCCCAGAGGCAGGGGCAAGAATGAAGGAAAAAACCTCTGGGTGTCAGAAATATCTCACTATGGTGTTAGCTGCTACAAGTAACTTCTGAGAGAGAAATATTTTAAGCACGTAACTGGTATTAGCTTCTTCAGACAAAGCTTTACCTTAGAGGCAGTTTTGAGCAGCCTACACTATGTCTGGTTTCAGACTGTGGTGAATTTTCTTCCATATTAATAAAAATGGGCATTTTTTTTTAATATCTAGGTTCATTTTTGACATTCTCACTTTTTCAAAGTGCGTTTCTTCCTTACAGCACCCCTAGCCCATATGAGTAGACAGCTCATTGACAGAGTGATGCCAACAAACAGGTTTATCCTTCCTCACGGAAAACCAAAACTGTCAACACTACACAAAATCACATTTCATTTTCTAATTAAATCCTTCTCAAAGACACAATTGATGCTTAGTACTTCCTACTGAAATAAGCAGGTCTTTTAAAATAGTATATATATTTTAAAATAACAGATGTTAAATGGAACTTTTTAAAAGGAACTCAGAAAAGCTGGTTGTAAATACCATCCTGTCTTAATTACAATACTATGAAAATAAGACCACATTTATATATTCAACATTAAACTGTATTAGAAGACAATGGGTTTACATTCACACGACAGTGAGTTACCCATTTTCTTCCATCTGCATTGTTAGCACATTCCTATCACAGAAGTTATTCTTGAAAGCCACATGTTTTTGCATGGTGCAAGTTTCTCAAACAGCAAAATACTCACATGCAAGGCAGAAGGATCTGGCAAAAATTCAGCATCTTCTCCAAAGATAAAATCTGGTGGCAGGTCAGGATAGTGAGCATTGAAAATTATATCCCCTGAAAAGTAGCAAAGAAAAACATTGTTTATATCTTGTCACAAAATATAAAATGATACAATACAATGATACAAAAGATACAATACTATGTCAAAAGGATACAATTACTTTCAGAGAGATAATACAACTTTCATGAGGAGTTTACAAGACCCTTCCACAGGAATGGGTAAACCTCGGGCAAGCCGTGCAGCCGGGGCAGCAGGCTCAAGGATCAAGCCAGCACCAACTCTTCCTTTCGATTGAGTTCACTTCTACAGCACCTAGAAGTGAAGGGACCCCAGAAAAACCCAAACCTGGTGTTTAATTATCAATGTAAATTAAGAATGGAATTTAACCCTGAAATAATCCAAACACAACAAAAAACTTGTTACCGTTTTAAAATTTAACAGAGTATTAACGCCTGCCTTCCTATAACACCCTAAGCACTTTATCCAGACAGCTACAATCATCACACACACACACAGACTGAGTGATAAATAATAAAAAATAAGAACAAAATGATGGTTCCACTTCAGTGTGAGTTCATCAGAAAAGAATGGTACCTCTTCTCAATCACAGGTGATAATTGTGTATTTCTGGTAAGCTCAGAAAGTCTCCAATCTCTGAATTAAATACAGCATCCTACTATTAAAGACAATAAGCTTTTGCCCATAATACAATTTTTACAATTTTCCTCTTCTAGTTAAAAGAAATAAAAAAAAAAATCATCATTCACTTGATTGTTACTAAACAGAGGGAAAAAGTAACCCTTCTTTGATAGCACACATTCACCTATGCTTAAGGTCTCTGCATTATTTCTGTCTATCCTTTCCCCTTCCCCACAGACTCCTTCATGTCTTGTCTGATTTGACACTAGGACAGAGCGACACCTTAGGCTCAACAACGTTTAGGTATCCACAAACCAACAAATAAGCATAAGAAGTCATATTTTCAGAAGCTTTTTATTCTCAATAAAATCTACAGTCACAAGTCAGACTAAAGGATGAAGGGCAAGAAAATGCTATTTCGGTTTTGCTCAAGCTCTTGATACTTCTTCTCAATGCTGAAAATCCAGAGAAACTTAAACTGCAATTAATAGTTAGCGTGGGTAAGATATTGAGCATAAAACAAAAATGATTCTATACATTCAAAGGCATTTAAGCAAGCATAATGGCACAATCCACACCAAACCCAGCTTTAATTTGTCTAAGTATTAGCATTAGTCTCTGCAATGAGCATACTAAGCCTAAAGTGTTCAACACCTAGAATTACCAACTACATTTTATCATGATTTATCAGAATCATTCAATTTTAAATTTCTAGGGTTTTCTGTTTGTTTCATTATATTTGTGACTTGTTGCTTTTGATACAATCGTGCAAGGTAAAAACAAAGTTTTCAATTAAAATTATTTGCAAATTACTGTGTTCAGAGTTTGAGAATTGTTACCATTTTGAAAACAAAAATATGAAAAACTGTAACGTTGTATTCCTCGCTTCACCAGAACRAAACACTTATCTCGTGATTACATCTCCAACACTTGAGCGCGTCCTTCCGCCCAACCTTCAACACTTTATTCACCCTCTTTCCCTGTCGGAGGGCGAGATGTGCAGCCTTCTGCAAAGCCACTGACGACCATCCCAAATCAAGAAATGCAGGAAAAGCCTTCACACTGGGATCACATCCATCTCTTTGTTAAATCCACCAAACCTTACCTGACACAGTGCTGACTGTCTTCATGCTAAAAATGAAATCAGTTATGTAAACTTCCATCCGTCACGATTTATAACCAAGATACCAACTCATCACAGTTGGCACTACAAAAGGCTCTAAATTAACTCGTGTAATCTGCTGACTTGACAGAGGAATACAGAGGCATCATCTCTCCATGGAGAGACTGTTAAAAAGAGGTATTTGACAGCATAAAACACCTTCCTTGGTACCTCTGACACTCCAGAATAAAACTACCTTCCCTTCTACATACACAGCTGAAAAGGAAAAATAYATACTGGAATATATTATTAGAGTCYGGAAAAATAATCTGTAGGTTACTTGCTCAAGAGAGGTCCAGAACACAAGCAAAAAGGAGAGCAAAGGGCAGAAGCAAGTCCTCGCCCCAAGAAAAGAGMGCGCGTGGGCCCGAGTCACACAAGTGCAACGTGATCATTTTAGTAAAATCTCAATTAAAACACCCCAAACATCCTCTCTGCAAGAACCTCCACAAAACCACAGGCTATGCAAAGTAACCTAACCTTGCACAGAAGGCTCACAAGGGCACTGTTAGCAACCCTGTTATGCAAATCCTCAAGTATACAATCATTTGCAAATTCATTGTTACATTTACAGGTAAACATTGGGGCTTACTGGCACAATAAATCGTGATTAGCAAATAACCAAGAAAAGCAGCCTTTAGAAGGACAACCAGAAGGTCATACACCCCTGTTTATTTTTTATTTCGCTTCTAATTACTTCCTTAAAGCAGAAAACCACAGGAAGATAAGATAAATTTATCAAAATAGTTCCAAAAGCAGAAAAATAGATGACACACTGTACAGACCGTTACCGGGAATATTCCTGAACCAGCCAGTGGGGCAGGGAAAGAGCAACTTCCTGCTCTCAGGCCCATAACTAAAAAGCATGTAAGAATCCAGGAAACAGAAATAACAAGCCAAAAAAGAAAAAAGAAAAGCTAAGCTACAAATGAGACAAAAGAATCATTCTTTGAGATAAAGGAAACCAAACCAATKGGTGACAGTAGAACTCAGAGCTGTAATCCACTCACATGAAAAAGGCAGCTAAAATCAGACAGAAGATGACAACACTGTGGCTCAAGAGGTCCCAAAAAAGAACAAAACCATCACAAGGGCAACACATTTTTTAATCACTGTTACATTCTGGATGACAGCACTCGGAGAGGAACATACAGCAGTGCCTGGAAAAGGGAAATAAAAAAAATGTAAAGGGAAGGGGAAAACCAGGCTCCTTTAGCCACAAAAAGCGGTGGAAGCTTGAAGGAAAATCTCAAGTCAGAAACGAGATACAGATTCCAGGGTAAATCAGAAAGACAACAGGGACTGCAGGGTTCATTGGAGCAAAAGTAGAGAATTCAGAAATCCATTACTAACAGCATTTTTTATCTCTGACTATCAGCAACACAATTAAGGCTTACAACTGTTTATACTGAGAACTAACGCTYTGACATTTACCCTGATGTTTAAACAGGGAGGACCTGGAGGTCCCTAAGAATCACAAAACACTTTGTCTCAAACAAGGTGAATCCCTCTCCATAAAGGACCTCGACCTGAACTCAACAGACACGGTTGTTCAGTGAGCAACAAGGGACATACTCGCTTACCATCCAGAGCAGGCTTTGTACTTTCAAAATGGATTCAACCTCTTACTAGACCTCATACCCTTAACAGCATGCCATGGACATTCAGTTTTCTTGGAGCTAAAACTCCTTTTAAAACCATCGGGACAACAAACCAATTTATTTCCAGCATTGATATTTTCTCCAACATAAAGATGTTGAGATCTCCAAGGTCTCATCCTGACTGGAGCTGAGCACCTGTCCAATATAAAATGCCAAAAGCTCAGAATCAATGCGAAAGGAGAATTAGAAATTAAATTTCTAATTCGATCTCAAGAAAATGTATTAACATTACAGACAAACCATTCTTAACATATAGATGTTCAATGCTACCAAAGCCCAGACAATAAACCACTTTACATTAGAGGGACCAAGCCACTGCATTGCCTGCACGTAGGTTTTCCCCTTTTTCAAAAACCAGCAGCGAACCCCTCRGTCTTCTGGAAAACAGAGCAGTTACTTCCCTAAAGCAGAACACCAATAGCTTTCAACACGCTGGCATTAGTGTTCATAAGGTATAAGCACAGTGGCAGCAGTTATGATTGATGACATACAAAGATCTCATCTGTTGCAAAGAGGATGTAACGCAAACCACAAAGGAACACACACTTCAGCCTGTATTTGGCTCCTTGGAGTGAAGATCATGCACTGGAGATCCTTAATATCTTCAGGCACTCTATTCTGGCAGATTTCGCCACTTTCCTTTGCAGCAATATTTTGCCCTTGAAAGATAACACATCTAGCAACAGCCTACAATAGAGCACCTCTGCATCTCTGGTTGCACACCACGGCACTCTTCCACGACTATCGTTAAGATAGATTATTAAAATTTTATTGAATCTGCTGGGATTAGTATTTACTCCACGTGCGGTAAAATGGAATGATGTAGAGCATTTTCAAACATGCAGTGCTGAAATACAGACAAGAACGATTCCTTGAATTCACTACTATTATTAGGTATTTTTTTTTTTAGGTATTTTAGGTATTATTAGGTATTTTTTTTTTACTTCACTATCCAGTTGGTCATAAGAATAAAATATGCAGTATGACTAAACTAGGTGATTTTGTTCTTTGGAAAGGTGAGAAAGTGTTAGGATGCTCTTTCCTTTATTAATTGCTTGTGTGATATTAAAATCATTGGAATTGGATTAAAAACATAATAAAGATAATAAAAGTTGATTTCTTGATAATGAAGTCTAATATATACTACGATTTCTAGGTACTGCAACTGTTGTCATTTAAGAGGCKAGTCTGCACGCCCATGTCCTCACACATGGACATGTTAAACTACTGTTTTCTTCTACAAATCCAAGAACAAGTCCAGCCTCTACAGAGACAAAAAGAATAAAACTTTAAACTCTCAAAACACAAGAATAGAGTCCCTTATGCTAAGTAATCCCATAGGAAACAGGACAGCATTCCCTATGCCAGTGTGATCAAAGGAAGCTTCTTCATTCCATCACAGCTGTGGCCATGAAACAAGTCTAAAGCATCACTGGCTACACCCTGGGTAGGCATCGAGACTTTAAAACAGGTCCAGTCTGCTACTTTATCACCTTTTTTTTTTTTTTCTTTCCTAATGTAAGTGTGGAAAGAAATCTACCTGTCAGAGTAGCTCTCTTTATATAACATAGTCCTTACCTATTGAAGGATCTGAGTAAATTTCTTTACCATATTTTCCTGTCTTGGTAACTGCTAGCACCTAATATGCCATTTTCATCTTTTGGAAAAGAACTATTAGTAAATATATCMAGACATGTTTTGGTACTTTTAGAACAGCTAAAATACTCAGAGGAGTCAGGCAGTGGAGCCCATGTGATCTCTCATACAAACACATAAATAATGTTTCAGACCAACTTCTGGGACAGACAGCTTTCCTTAGAAGTGGCAAATGTAGATTTAAAATATTTTTAATRATATACAAGCTTGACTGTGTTGGTTTTCATTCATAAAGAAGTGTTTCCAGCTTAACGTGTAATATAAAGAAAAACTACCGTAGAAGGAATACATTATTAATACTTAAAATGTCTCAGAGCTACAGCATGTGTATGATACAGTCTCAGCAGATACTATTATAGTAATTAAAAAAAGAAAAAAATTTTATGTTGAACATTTCTACACACAGTAAAAATCTGCATCTTTAGGCAACATCTTTTCACAGAATCACCAAATTACTGAGGATGAAAAGCACATTTGGAGACACTTTAGGAGACAAACCCTTCTTTTGACTTAATTGCAGTATTAGATCAGAAAATCAAAGTGACATTAATCTTGTAAGCTATAGCAGCTAAACTTCAGAGATACCTATAAACGGATAGACTGACTCCTATTGCCAGAGCTTAATAAAGAACGCTCACAGAGGAAGGAAGGAAGRAATACGAACAGTATTTAAGTCACGAGCAAAACTAAATAAAAAGGACATGAGATTGGCTTAGTCATAATAATTTATTTTTAAAAAATGGGGTGGCTGGGGGAGAACTTGTGATATTCATGTTTCCAAATTCTTCACTATATTTAGGAAGGCTATAAACATCTTAGAAAATGAAATTAGATATTTTCACAGGTTGCATATTCTTGGTGCTGAAGTCTTAAAAAAAAAAAAAAAAAAAAACAGGTATCTCACCCCCTTAAAATAGTTAAACACTCTTGAAAAAAATAACCCGGTAAAGAAATAAAGAACACGGCAGCTGGTATAAGGGCCAAGATGCAATAGCAGCAGTTTTTAACTTACATTTGAGTGTTTCTCCAGCATAAGGTATATGTAGCTTAAACCGATCACAGCTGGGTCCCGGCGTCAAGGATGTACATCTAAAAGAGAATGTAAGAATTTGCTAAGATGATAGTGTATAGAAACATTATTTTACAGCGTACAAGCAACAGATACAGTAAAAAGTTGTCAATATTAAAAATATTCATCTTTATAATGATGGAAAAGAAAAAAAAAGGTGAGAAGTTGTGTGAGGCCTGGCCTCCTCTGAACAGTGTTTCCCACTACAGCACGAGAAACTTTTAAATCTGTGCTAATTTTATTTCTTCTTTCTTATTTTAATACAAGAAACATACAGAGAGAATCCCTGTTTTGAGGATGTCATCAAAACAACAGCCATTTACCAGCAAAAGCCATCAAACTGCTGACATTGTATACACTATTTTTCACATACAGTTATGTGCTGAGTATCCCTGCCTATTTTTACCTATTTAACATTTATTTTTCCTCTTGTGGAAAGTCTCACAGTAAGCTTCCAGGTGAGGAGGTTTCAGAACCTGGTGTTCTAGGCTATGGCAACTCAGCATCTAAATTTGTGCTCTGTGAACATTTCGTATCTCCTGCTTGTGTGAAACACCCTGAGTCCTGACTGAGGCGATGAGTGAGCATTCTGCAAGAACACAACAAACAACACTGAAAAGCTTTTCAGCCTCCAGTCCGGAGAAACACAACTTTTTTTCTCACTTTATGAGTCACATACCAAAGATCTTTGAAAACAAAGACCCAACAAATCCCAGATGCAAGAAGAAAATGCAGCAGTCCCTGGGGCTCTCGCCACTCTAGCTGGTGGCATTAACACATCCCAGGAGCATAAGCCTCAGAAGCCCTTAGAGTTTCATTGCTTTCTTATTACCCACAGGTTTTCTTGCCAGAAGTTTTCTTGCTCTTCTACCACAGGGCTACACTTGTTGCAAGCTACATAAAGCTCAAAGTTAAAGACTTGCTAATACTAGATGCAACCAACACTGGAAAACAACGTAGACAGTGGCAAAAAAGGCCTAAGCTCGTACATCAAGTCAGAGCTGTACTACAAACCATGTAACAAAACAAAAGCCATGTTTAATAGGCTAAAAATATGACCAAAAGAGGGGAGGGGAAAAAAAAAAAAAAAGAGAGAGAGAGAGAGAGAGAAAGAAATTAGAAATTAGATAATTTTAGATAATTGGTCTTGCAAATCAAAGGGAAGCAACCTATGTCCTACCTTCTATTTGGAAATGTTCTGCCATGCCTGTGAAAACATAGTGAAAAACAACCTAGAGAAACATAATATAGATACGATTATCAGATGTGCACAGGGCTGGTTGGAAAGCCAATTTCAAGATTAGTTCAAACTTGTTTCATCCATGAAGAATGCACAGATTAGGTTTTCTTCTAATAGACCGCTATTCAGCATTTCATTAGAAGTCTTTGATGATGGAAGACAGACAATGTTTATTAAATCTACAGGTGATGCCAATGTGAGAGGTAACACAGCACACTGGATGACAGGACCTGAGCTGAAAATTATTTTGATGATACGATGCTCCATACTCTTTTTTTGAATTGCATCTAGGTGGAGCTTAGCAAGAGTGGTGAGTATCACTAGTATCACTAAGAGCAAAAGCAGATTTCTTGGATGTGTTTGAGAATACCAAGACTGAAGCCCTAGGGACAACTGCAATAGTAGGTGAGCAAAGCAAACAGGAAGCAGTSAGAAGATTTTAATGAATGTGGATAAATTTGACATCTCCAGGTATGAGATGATCATCTACCTTCAAGTCATTTCTAAGGTTTGCATCACATAAGGCTAATGGTAGGTAGCATTCAAAGAAAGAGAGAAAAAAGCCCCCCACACCTGCTACCACCACCAAGAACCTTTTGCAGGTTCCAAAACATCTCTGCAGCACCAGTTAATATTTAATGGMAGTTTCTTTCCAAGTCTCACAGGTCACAATCTCAGGCACATTTTTCTAATACCATCAAAATAACACTGTTATAAGCTTTTCAACAGACATAATTTTGGGATCTTACAAATATGCTTCAATCTTTTCTTTTAGCACAACAGGCCATTTGGAAATACTTTGGGGAAAGTATAATATTCTTTAACGTTAAAATAAAAGCCTGATTTAATGGTAAGTGTCCCTAAAAGCAAAACTAAGTACTTTTCTTAAATTATTACACTCCACTAGAGAAGTTTTGAATTTTACTGCTCTAGAAGTGATGGAAAGTGACAGCATTCACAGTCATTTCTGTGCCAAATTACACTCTTCGACTAGGCCGCACAAAAGACTACAAAAACCGCAGCAGGCTGAGCAACCAAGCAAAAATCCTACATACGTCCACTTGAAAGAAGACAGTTTCTTTTCRGTATGAACAGGGAAAGAAGACAACTCCTAAGGCACACTGAAAAATTGATCCAAAATCTAGCAGTGTGTGTGTAACTTTATTTTGCCAGAAAGTCAGACAGTTCTTTCTCACTTGAATTTCCTCAACACATGTAACCTCATATGATTGGAAAGATGTCTACCTAGAAGCCTGCCCTCTATCCTCTCTAAAAATAGTGGATTTTTTAATTTTTTTTTTTTAACGTTTGATGATCTTCTTGGTTCAAGTGGTCCCCATAAAATCATGCTGTAATAAGGTGTTTTGGGGATTAGTTGTTGTCTCATCTTACTAACAGCAAATTAGTACTAGAGGAAACTGTTCACCTACTTGAATTCACTTCAGAATCTGACTTCATGTTAAGATGAACAGAAGTGCCACCTCCCTGCTTCTTCATGATGAACATTATACTGAAGCACATACCTTCATTTAAATCATCAGTATTTTACACAAGAAAGCATCCGTGTACCCTAAGATCTCTCACAATGGTTTCTTTATCAAAGAATCATTAGCTTCACAAGTTTCAAGGACCAAAAAATAGCCTTAACTACAAAATATACAAAATACACACACAGATATTCCAAGYAGAATACCAGTAAAGATATAACGAAGAAAGCATTTCTTCTTCTAAAGGCAGAACTCCACCATATTTTTCTGTCATTTGTATACTTTGGTGTAAGAGAAAACCTTGATTGGAAACTCAACTTGAACCATTTTTCGATTCTTATGCCTTTAATGGTTTACTTTTTCCTCTCTTTATAGATGAAAATCTGCTCCATTGTTCTTTAAAGACACAAGATTTAATTACACTTAATTACAAATTCATTGTAGAATTCACAACTGCATATTGGTATATGGTGGTAGTAGCAAGGGAGAATGGAAGGAAGGTGATTTTTTATTTATTTTTTTTTTTTTAAGGAAGCATGGGTGAGGATCACATTTTAGAAAGCTATTTCTACTAATGAAAACTTGTATCACACTGGAACTCTCTGTCACGTTGCACAAACCTTTACAGGCTGTCAGAGGCCTGGAAATACACAAGAAAATACTAAGCAGCTGCTGCTGAAAAACAGCAGATCTAACCAAAATTCTGTCAACTGAGCAAATTCTGAAATGAGAAAAATAGTCCAGTAAACACTTCTCCTTTTTATATAATGGCAGAGAGATACACAGATTATACATATATAAGATACAGGAACTTACATTTAAGATATAAAGCCACACACCACTGCTTTGGGGAAATATGAAAATCCACTTACATTTAGACTGATTGCTGCTTAAATGGATATTTTCATTTTAAAATCAGAAAAGCAAATACATAATTATTCCAATTATTCCAAACACCTGTCCAACAGCTGAATCCACCAGTTTCATAAAACTTGTTTCCATCCAAACTGGTTCGTTTGAACCTCAGGAATTGAACAGTGACTACTCTGGTCCTGCAATAGGGATGTTCTTATTAAATTTGAATCCTGTTAGTACTGGTGATACGCCATAACTGCAACAGCATTTCAATCCAGAGTTGTTTGGTAGCCCTGAAGGTGCCTCCAGTGTTAGACACATTCCAAAGAACTTCACTTTCTATAAATGCTGATTTTCCTGTAAATAAATATTTACCCTTAATTATATGAAGGACATTATGCTAACAGAAATTTCAGAATAGGATACTAGCTAGAATATACCACCAACAATCCTTCAATAGGATACTAGGTAGAATATACCACCAAGAAAACAATCCTTCAATCTCCTTCTGTATCCATGGGCATATCTGCATTTTGTAAAGTCTGAAGCTCAAATAAGTGCTTAAAAATCAGCTGACAGCTACCTACTTTCCCTGGCAGCTTGTACAAAATCATCTAATGATGACTATCATTAATAAAACAAATTAGAACAGTTGTATCTTTATTAAGAGTTTGCCAAAACAGATGTGCCAAGTGGGAAAGCTGCCTGCTTCTAGAACTAGGACTTAAAGGACTTAACCTCAAACCTATTCTGCATTTGCTGCAATTTCCAGTGGGAAAAGTCCTGCAACCTCSCCAGCCTCTGCCGGACATGGACACTCAATGTAGCTTCAATTGGGACAACTCCAGAGACGGAAAAAGAGGAATCACATCTGTACATAATTTTGAAGCCATCTCAGAGAACTTCTGTACTAAATGCCAGTCAGTACCAAACCACACGATGRGGATTCTTTTGGTATCAAGGGTTCCCTGTTCATCTTCCCTAGGAAAGTTTTTTTTAGAACGGTTCCTCAATCACAACCATAATGCAGGTTGGAAAGGAGCTCAGGGAGCTAATTGTGATAAAAATTACCAAAAATAAATAGCAAATAACAAAAGACAGCTGTCAATAAAGAGGCAGCTTTATAAACACRTATTACAAGCAAAGTTGTTCCTTTTGTAAGATTCTTATACTCTTGCAATTGCCTTTAACTCCCCTTAACAACTGCACACGTACATACACTCTACAGTCTCCAAAGGAATATGACAGAAACAGTAAAGGGGAAAAGAATGACTGAAAAACAAACAAAAAACTTACAACGGGACAACTATTATAATACACAYTCCAGTAGACTACATTTCAGTAAATAAACAATTGAATTAACCTATACTATTAACATATACTACCTTTTTGTCATAAATTCCGACCAAGAAAATGCCCAGCTTCACATACAAGTTCA